GACAATCACAAAAATTCATATGTATTAAGCTGTGAAGACAATCAGGTCCTTATTGCTGTTGGAAAATGTATTTAAGTCAATATGAGTTACAAGTAGATGTATTTATTTCTCATATAAATATATTATATACTATAAACCAAGGGCATTTTTACAGTCTAATTATATTGTAATTGTGTATTTAAATTCTATAAAATTGAGAATGGAAATGGGGAATGTGTCAAAGACACAACAACCCGACCATAGAGCAGACAACATCCGGAGGCCACCAATGGTTCTTCAATGCAGCGAGAAACTCCTGCACCCGAAGGCGTCCTTCAGCTGGCCCCTAAACAAATATGTATACTAGTTCAGTGATAATGGACGTCATACTCAACTCCAAATTATAAATAGGAAACTAAAATTAAAAATGATACAAGACTAACAAAGGCCAGAGGCTCCTGACTTGGGACAGGCGCAAAAATGCGGCTGGGTTAAACATGTTTTTTAAGATCTCAACCCTCCCCCTATATCTCTAGCCAATGTAGAAAAAAACAACAAACGCACAACAGTACGTACTGTAAAACTGTGTATGAAAATAATACATAAATAACAACAGCCTACTAGCAGTTACTGACATGCCAGCTCCAGACCTCAATTAAACTGATTAAAAGATTATGTCTTCATCATATGAATATCAGGCACAATGTATATATGCTAATCAATGTTCTTTTTCCTTATACATGTAGTCTCTATATGCCCCTTTTGAGCCCTTAATTGGTAATAAAATATATCTTATCTAATCTTATCTTATAAATGTGTACTAAAGAGTTACAATTAAGCACACAAACATGAAGCACACATAATACATAAGTACAACAACAAAGCACACATAATACATAACATAAACATCACAACACATTTAGTCCAAGTGTAAAAAACAAGCGGCAATGTACATTCTAAAAAAACACTAACTTCACCATTTTGATGATGATCTTTGAGTTCTTGTAGGCGTTGATTGAGTTGTGTGTATTTCTTCTCTTTGTTTGTCGTACTCACTCTGTTTGGTACTGAATGATGGTCATTTCGTTTGATGCCTGCTCTTCTTAAAGGTAGTTCAGTAGCATGTATATGTTTGGGTGGTACTTAGACCATCGTCTTTAAGCTGCTGTATCATTCTTCGAGGTGGTTTCTATAGTCTTTGGTTCTTCTGTTTCATAAACCCAGTATGTTGTGACGTAGTCCTTAAACGGAGTGGATTTTGCCGTTGAGTCTGAATTTTCCAGGTCTTCCAGTGTATAGACCCAGACGTCTTCTATTTCTGCATACATGTGGTACCAGAGGAAGAGCTATTGCCCTGCGTATAAGTTGATTAATGTCTGGTTCTTCTTTATAGTTTATGGCGAGTCCTGTAGACTACACTTTATGCCAAGAACACTTGGTATAACAACCTTCAATAGTGATTCCTGTAAAGGATTATCTGGCAGAATTCGTAATCAATGAAGAAAGTTTTTGGGTTCAGGTGAATCTGACGTTGGGTGCAAGCAGTCTTCAGTGTAGTGTAAAGAATCGTGTGTAAATGTCATCTAGTATCCCTGGTAAAAGTGCAAAGACTAGTGGAAACATCTGTCCATCAACAAGTGCGTGTAGAGTGAACAGTGTAAATGAGTTTAAATATTTTTAAATTGCATGTGTAATTTCTTAATTTATTTAAAAACTTTAGAAAAAATGTAATTAAAATTACGGTATTGATACTAGTATTACCTTTATAAATAAACGTTACATTATAGATATATTTCATAACCCAGAAATGTTATATCATTTATTCAAAAGCGCATTAGTCTTATGACTTAAACCGAGCAAATATACTGTGACACATTTCAGACATTTTAATATGTTATCAAATTGATTTATATAAACCAATGAACGTTAAGCAAATAAGTTACTTCGATTTCCGTTTTGGACGTATTTGTTCAAGTCAAGATATTCTAGGGTAAAGAATAATGGGTTTATCTGTAGTGTTATTAAATGCTCATATTACGCAACATAATTATTATAAAAACAGTTTTGCAAAAACTTTAGTATGCATTAATTGTTTGACTTTTATTGTTTGTATTATACTTGATATTAAACCGTGTTTTTGTTGTTATTCTTGTTTTTGAAACGATTTTTCGCATCAAAAATTAGATCAAAGGGATAATCAAAAACCATAAGTATAAAAAAACAGCGTATACTAATGCCAACAAGAAAAATAACGAAAAGACAAACAACGGTCTGCAAAAAATTGCACAGAAAAATTTAGACTAGGCATTACAAACCCCTATACTATAGGGATGTCTACAGATTATCCAAGAGGATGAGGCGATCCTGCTCCACTAGTGGCAAGACTTGTGTTCAGGGATGTCTACAGATTATCCAAGAGAATGAGGTGATCCTGCTCCACTAGTGGCAATACTTGTGTTCAGGGATGTCTACAGATTATCCAAGAGAATGAGGTGATCCTGCTCCACTAGTGGCAACACTTGTGTTCAGAGATATCTACAGATTATCCAAGAGGACGAGGTAATCCTGCTCCACTATTGGCAACACTTGTGTTCAGGAATATCTACAGATAATCCAAAAGGATGAGGTAACCCTGCTCCACTAGTGGCAACACTTGTGTTTAGGGATGTCTACAGATAATCCAAGAGGATGAGGTAATCCTGCTCCACTAGTGGCATCACAAACCCCTATACAACAGGGATGTCTACAGATTATCAAAGAGGATGAGGCGATCCTGCTCCACAGTGGCAACACTTGTGGTCAGGGATATCTACAGATTATCCAAGAGGATGAAGTAATCCTGCTCCACTATTGGCAACTCTTGTGTTCAGGAATATCTACAGATAATCCAAGAGGATGAGGTAACCCTGCTCTACTAGTGGCAACACTTGTGTTCAGGGATGTCTACAGATTATCCAAGAGGATGAGGTAACACTGCTCCACTAGTGGCAATACTTGTGTTCAGGGATATCTACATATTATCCAAGATGATGAGGTAACCCTGCTCCACTAGTGGCAACACTTGTGTTCAGGGATGTCTACAAATTATCAAAGAGAATGAGGTGATCCTGTACCACTAGTGGCAACACTTGTATTCAAGTATGTCTACAGATTATCCAAGAGGATGAGGTAATCCTGCTCCACTAGTGGCAACACTTGTGATCAGGGATGACTACAGATTATCCAAGAGGATGAGGTAACCCTGCTCCACTAGTGGCAACACGTTTGTTCATGGATGTCTACAGATTATCCAAGTGGATGAGGTAATCCTGCTCCACTAGTGGCAACACTTGCGTTGCTCGTGCAAAGTGATATTTCAGTGACATAACGTATAGGGTGATTTCATAATCGAGGAAAAGAAAAAGGGCTTTTGAAACATATCTGTTGTCATAGAGTGACACAAATATTCCATAACGATTAGCCAAATGATGATTGCGTCCGTAATGTTGAGCATTTTCAGGGTTGTAATTTATTGCTGTGTTCGTATTTTCTTACAAGATTCCTGTTTTTATACTACACAATAGTGTTTGTTTGTTGTTCTACAAATTCAATTTGACACGAAAAGAATGCTTTAGATGTCACTTGCTATATGTTTGTTCCTACATAGGAACCTAGCTCCAGGATTGTAATTTGTTTACAGTAATTAAGTGCCAGTCTTTATAAGAATCAGGCAATTTAGAAGAATATCAAAACATGGCCGAAAAAACCCGCTAACCTTACCATTCTATTTTGAAGTTACCCTAATCGTGAGCTAGAAATGGTAGGTCTTTCGTTTTTGGCGTGTCTTGTAATTCGAGAAATCTATATTGCATTTTAACCAAAATATATCTTGAAATACCAGAACAGGAAAAGAAACCCAATGTTATATTTATTCACCATTATACATTTTTAACTTAATGTAAATTAATGTTATTAAACGACAATACTGTAAAGAGTTTATCTTTACAAAAATCTTTTTTTTTTTCGATTTCAAAGGCCAGACCAGTTCGTAAGGTTTTATTTTCGCGTACTCCTTTTTAACTTTTTTGATTTGAGCATCACCGATGAGACTTTTGTAGACGAAACGCGCATAAGGCGTACACAATTTTAATCCTAGTATATATGATGAGTTTAATTTCCCTGACTCTTATCTCCCTTAATGATCAATTTACGCGAGTGAATACTTTGCCATTTTATCTAAATCGCGAAATTAGCGAAAACAAGCCCATCGTGAAAATTTCGGACTGTACAGTACAACGATTTACTTTTGGTAGAGTTTTGGTTTTGTAAAGAATGTTCTTTTTATCCATTCTTGGGTGATAATCAGCTAAAATTGCAGTTTAAAGCCTTCTTTCTTATGCATTTATAATCAATGTGTATGTACGTTCAGAAATACGACATGTTGTTACAGCCTCAAAGTACTCGTGTGAAGCTGTGATACTACAAATTTGAGTAGGGGCTGAGACTTTTTTGAAAAATAACCCTCTTAAGTAATTTACACTTGTTTTATTTTTCGATTTCTTTTGTTTTAATGCAAGAAGCCTCTTGGACTTTGTTACTCTAATTTCTACCTTTTTTGTATATACATTTAGGTTTCATCGTTTCTCAGATTATCTATTTGCTATTTTCTGGGTTTTGCATGTTGGTTTGTTTTGTTTTCAAAAGAAGATTTATTTATTTGATAAATTAATCAGTGAGAAATGAATGAAATAAGTTCAGTACAGTATTATCAGTACCAATTGTTCAACCCAAGTTCAATATAACTTAACAACAAAAGATTGTATTGATTATCGTATATCAAATGGAGTTTCTGATCTTAAATAGATATTGAAAAAAAATTTTAGGACACTTTTAAATATTAAAAACGAGAAAAAAACTTAACAGATTGAAAAGAAGTTTAATTCCTTTTGCATTTCATAACCTATTTATATGTATTATATTTGAGGATTAGAAACAATGTTGTGTCTCTGCAAATCTTTGTACTTTTTTTTCTTTTTTTTTAGGTTGGTAACCCAATGTCAGAACCGTTCGGTCAATTTGCAGACCGAGGTAAGTTAATACAAAACAATTTGTTTAAGAAATTGGGATCAACAGAAACTAAATATTTTTTATACAAAAATTTAAATTTGCACCGCTTGATAAAAATAAAGTACTTGCATGTTACCTACTGAGTAACACGCCACAAGCTGTACATATATTCATTATTATATACTGTACTCTCTCTCTATATATATATACCAAACTTACAATTTCAACCTAGGTTCGGTTTCAAGCGGTGATATTTCCAAATTTTCAACGATAGGTTAAGAGTTAAAACAGTGAATGATATAAAACAAATATAAAAGAAGCACTCGATTTGTCTCCGGAATATATAAGATTAAAGCTTAAATATGACAAAACAGAACAAACACCCACTGACGACTGTTGAAGAAATTTCCCTTACCATCATGTCAAAAAATATAATTCAGATACACACCCAATTAAAAGCAAATGGAATTGCTTTTAACCTGTTTATCCTGAGGATGACACTTTTTCATTTTTCATTTCGATATTTCTGTTCATAATAAAATGCCGTGAATTTTTTTTGAATTAAAGCACTTTTTCATTTCGCATAGGTTCAGTTACATAAACATGGTTACCCATATGAAAGGTAAGGTGTTTGCCCACGCGGATTTAGTTTCGCATGTTTTGTTTTATTTTGTTGTTTTGCTTTGCATTTTGTTTATTTTTGTGCATGAGTTGGATTTGTTTATTTTGCATGGACCACAATAATTTGGCTTTGTTTCTAAATTTAGAACAATAAATCAATTATCATAGTCTAAAAAAAAAAAAATAATTTGGCTTTGTTAATTAGAATTTGAATCATTTAGCTTATATAGTTTTGATGTATATTCTACTACTTTATGTAGCACGTTGGCTTCGCCTTAATCTGGAATGCCATGTGTAAGGAATATTTCACGCAAATCGTCATCTTCATGAAACAGTAAACATTTCGACATTTCGTACAAATCCATAAGTTTTGAATTTTACCTTGATTTGTATTTTCTTAATCATATCAATATTGTTAATGCGTCTATGCACTCTTGCACATTAGAGGCATTGTTGGTCAACAGATGTTCATATCTCATAAATCCATTAAGAACATACACATCAAGGTAAAAACCAAAACTAATGGATTTGCACGAAATGTCGAAATGTAACAATCAAATTGAACACATTCGATAAAGTAACAGATCAGATGCCTATTATGGTGTTTCTACAGATCTAGGACCGGTAACTGATGTCGCAAGTCAGTGCGTAGTGACACAGCTGATAAGGTGCTGTTCTCATAACTCTGTTGGGGCATTTTTGTGTCAGGAGCACACATCCCTGTTAATGAGTTCTGTATAATTTGCACATGCTCGAGCGTAATGTATCAACTGAGATACGATAGACATACCGTAATCAGACATCTGTATTGTTTATACGCTGCAATAGTATCGAGTCGACTCTTGCTTATTTAAGGAGTAAAGATGCCTAATAGAAAACACTTAGATTTAAAGAACATGCATTATTTAATTAGTACCATTAAAAGACAATCCGAGATCAAGAAAAGCGTCGAAAGAATAGAACATAGAAACATAAATAAAAATTTATAATTACAGCTGCCATCTATTTTTTAATATGTAAATCTGTTATATTGACGGCCATTTTTGCGAATACTAATTTATATATTGTCATAAAACAAATGCATGATTATAAAGCAATATTTTTCGGATCACTTACTCCCAAGTTTTATCATTAATATCAAACTGACGTCATATCCCAGCAAATACATCATTTTAATAGATAAGAATATGAGAAATAACATGTAAACATATGCTCGTTTTCCATATGTCATTTATATATATATATATATATATATCTTTTTTACAGATTATGTGTGGATCACAGGAGTCTGTGTGTCAGCAGTGATAGTTGCTATTGTTCTTGCCATTATTATGATTTATGCCTATATGAAGTGGAAAAGGGAATATGTCAGGACAAATCCAAAAGCTGCGAGAAAGAAAGGAGACAAACGACCTACTTTTCCTTTATAGCATTTGATAAAAACATATCTATACGTAACCCAGCTAAACAAACTATTTACAAGTAGACTCTCTAATTATATTTTGCAGCACCCAAGTGTTCATAAAACGTTACAACGAAAACAGGTTGTATTTCTGGTGCCTTATAAACATCGACCGAAATATAATAGTCGGTGATTGATACGCAACTTATTAAATTAACTAAATTAAATGATCGTTTTTTAATTATTCTGTAACTATGACAATTCTCTATTCTATACTAAACTATATTGAACTTAAGATAATGATGGTGCGTTACACCTAGCTGTGTTTTTTTGTAGTACATTACAACAAAATGGTATTGTAAATATTCAATATATGATAATTGCAATATTGTATAAAACAATTTGAATAAAACCACTTATTATTATAAAATATGACTAACCAAAGCCCAGTTATGAATAACAAGGGCAATTTGTTTTGAGTTAAATGATTATGTTGCACCATGACATCATTTTTAGTAAATAATGTACCATAGTTCATTATTCTGAATGAACATTGTGTTTACGTCAGTAGAAAAAAGATGAGCATAATTGGGAATTAAAAATCATTTACTGAAAAAGGAATGACATAGAAAAAAGAAAAAAAGACGGGCAACAGTCACCAAAACACTACACAGAAAGCTCGAACAAATCCACAAAGAAAAGGAAACTTTTAATCAAAATCTTATTTTAGATGTGGTCCATCTGCATATATATGTTGCCAGTTTGTTTTTAAATTCTTGATTAGTTATATTATTTGCAGATTATTGAATTTTGTTATCTCAATTCTTGGAATAATACCTGCTTGATAACAGATAATACAACAAAACTATTTTCAAAATATTGAACATTGATGTAAGGTAGTACTTCTTTAGTTACATTCAAATATTCCAAATACACTATAAAATAAAAAAAAAAAAAAAAAAAAATACCGCTCCCCTTTTGTCGCTAAAACGTACAGTGGCATGTTTTAAAAACGAAAATGTGTACATTGTTGAATTAGTTTTGCTTGCATGCTGAAAAAAATAGATTTTGTATCAGTATCCTACACATTTCCCCCACAATCAATTCCAATACAAGACCTAACAAAAAGTAAAGAAAACGCAGAACATATGCATGATCATCATGTAAAACATTACTAAAATGGTGAAAATTATTTATTAAAATTAATTCTAGTCTTCAAAGCTTTTCAAATATAAAATGATTTCGTCTGATTCTTCCGCTCCCCTATCATCTTCACTGGCTATCTGTGCGTTCTTTAAATAATTCCAAAATTGTATGTCATTCGGTCTAAGTTCGGTAGCCTTCAATAAAAAATAATTATTATGAAATTTTGAAATATTTTAAATGATATAATATGGTTAAGACTATTAGTTTTGGAAAGATATTTGAATTCATGTTTTTTTCGTTTTCACATTTCACAGCTTCATCTCGTTATACATCTACACATATGTTTAGTCATTATCATCAAAGTTGAAAGTATCGAAAGTTTAATGAAGACTGAGGCTTTCATATCAAATATCAGTTAGTAAGGGTGGTGTTTCGAAATACTATACAAACAAAATGATGAGCTGTCAGTTCGTCGAAGTTGCTCACAGTATCTATGACAGACAATGCACCGTTTTTTTATATTTGAACACATGAATCATATAAAGTTTCATTTCAGTCCATATAAACGTACTAGTATTGTTTTACGAAAGTGTCAATTTAAATATTGTTATTAAATTGTATATTAGATATTATGTTGGTAGTTTAGTTTAAACAGTATTTTATTCTAATAAATAGACTTGGATATGGAATAGGCAAAGCCTATGTAAGCCCTCTCCATACTTATTATGTTGGTAAATAATCGAAAAGAGAATAAGCTACCGCGAGGAACAAAATCAATATCTAGTAGACTTAAGTCTAATTTATACTAAGGAATATAGTAAAGAAATGATATAAATTAGAACAAACATGGCCAGAGAGAATTTAATGCACTATTATGACTATTGCCCAGTTGTTTACATTTGTGATTTTACAATATACACAGACACCTGGATGTCTTTAAGTTTTGATCTACTGGAAGTTATTTATTGAAAATTTTATTGCTGGCTTTTAAGTATATTGAATTTAACACAGTGACGTATATACAACTGTTTATATATATAAGTATATGACTATGTATGTAATTAGGATTATATGTGTTTGTATTTGAATTACAAATGTCGGTTCAATTACCATTTAATTGTATTTCAAAGTGTACTTTTGTTACAGTTTACCTTTCTGAAATGAAAAACAGCTTCTTCAGGTCTTCCCGTATCGTAAAGTAAACGTCCATACTTGACACGTGTATCAAATAACTCTGGATTCAATTGTAATGCTTCTTGTAGCAGTTCTTCTGCCTTGTATACTTCATTCATCTACAAAGGAAATGATCAAGCTATGCAAATACTATGCGCACAGCTAATTCAAAATTGGTGCAACTATTCTTTTTCAGAAAATACAATTCGTTGGTAAAGGTAATACATTGTAGTAGCAATTTTGTTCAATATTAAGTTCAAGAAGGATACGTCCATGAAACAGTAACCAAACGACACAAAGCCAAAAGACATACAATTAAATAACATTTTATGAATTTCGTGCGTCTCACGGACTTTTCTTTGTTTGCCTTCGTCAGGAACGCTCAACCCCAAACATTTGAAAGCCAAGGATGTATCAGACTTAAACACGTGAAGTGCTACACGACAAAAAAAAAGAACATAAAAAAAGGCCAAATTCATCTTACGTTGGAGTTGGACCGAAGAAAAAGACAAATTCACCTAAAATTTAAGTATACTTGATATGACATTCATACTTCTACTATATATATAGTGCAGTTAATTTCTTAAAGCTATTTTCTGATATGTTCATATAATAAATTGAATATGTCACCTGGCTTGTTTTAAAGCATGGTATTAAAAGCTATAAAATGCCCCGATATGACAAAAATTCAAACAATTCAAACAAGAAAAGCAACGGAAAAGAAAAATATGACAGAATACAAACAGCCACTGAATTACAGGACTCTGATTTGGGACAGACAGATAAAGAAAGTGCCGTGGTTAGACATGTCTAAAAGTATCAAATCTCCTCCTAACTTTGGAGAGTGGTGTATCAGCACAATTGTAAATATATTTTAGCACATAAAACACATATTCTCCTTATTTAAATAAATATAGCAGATAAATCCAACGATGATAATATAAATCATCCTGTAGATTTCATTGCTTGTAAAAATTACTATAAAAAGTCATAGGATTCGGTAAATTCTTCGAGCTAGACAAATCATTTTTCATAATTTGGCATAAATGCTAGTCTCTTTAGAATTTCGATAAGATGAGTCATCGGAATTTAATGAGAATCATTTTAATAGACATCGAAATTGTGTAATACGAGTAATGGTCAATTTCCCTTGATTTCATCGCGTGGTCAAAATTCGAAAACTAAAACGAATTTAAATATAATAAAAAGTCTTAGAAAAATAACGGTACTTAAATGTTTTTGCAACAATGTTCCATAAATCCATAAAATCAAAATATTCATTTAATCTTTCTGAATGTGTTAAAACTGTGAGGTCATTGATACACATTAGAATAAAAAAGTCCATGCCACTTCTATCTTCACGGACATTTAATGTTGTTTTCGAGGTAAAAGAGCCAAACAATATCGCTAATGAGGATAAATAACAGCAAATAAACTGCCTGAAAAGGAACAAAGGATTCACTTTAATGAACCTTATCAATGTAAATATCAAGAATAGGGAGATTTGGTATGAGTTCCAAATGACAAGGATTTAGTTTGATTCTGACATTTGATTCACTACAGATCATCATAATTAGGTTTTATGTTTGATCTTTTCCTCAATATTGACACAGATAGATGACCTCAAAGTAGAATCTATGACAAAAGAGATGATTTCAACTTTCAAATTGTTAACTTCCATTTCTCAACAGTAGCATGCCTTCTATCCCATTGCATGGATTTTGAATATCTAAATACGTTACGATAGTGCATGTTTATACTATATAGAACGTATTTCAAGGGCATGCTCCTTACTAAAAAACTGTGCCAACAGATTTATGAGGAAATCGACACTACACAAGTTTTACGTTCCCCATCGCGAAATTGGATGACGCATACGATGTGTTTGTGTCTCAACTCACTAGCGACATGTTTTTGCGATCTTTGATCTTTACCTACCAGAAAAACCGTCTGGTTTGTAATTTAACCGATTGTGTCCTATTCCCGATTGTGAAATTTTACTGATTTTTATCGCATGAAAGTTTATGCATAACAGGAGACGCTTATCCTGACAAAACACCCGCTCTTGTTCCTTTTGGAATTCGTGCGATTCCCTCCGTTTTTTGTTTGTTTCCTTGATTTGTATCTTCGTTATCGATTTTAAGACTTGGATATCGGTAACCTACTGTTGCCTAAATTTATGCTCCTTTAGAATTTAAACCAACGATGAAGAATTGAATTTCCCTTCACTAATCACTGAACTGTCCTCGTACACGATATTATATTGACGCGTTTGCAAATGCTTCACTAAAAATCTGTTCCAACTACAAATATCTGATCTGTATCAGGAATTAATGTTACTATGAAACTACCTATAAAAGGGGCGGTTTGAATGACTTATGGATTATAAAAATTATCAAGATCTATTGGGGGCACCTTTAATGAAAGTTTCTCTTCTAATACAATGGTACTATATAGTATTGAAGCATCATTCGACTCCACTTTTAATTTCATATTTTGACCTCATATATAGATTCTTGTCCATGTAAATTTGTATTGTTTATAATTCACGTCCTTCTACAGATATGAATTATATATTTATATATTTGATAATGATAAAAAGCAAAAATTAGATTTCCGTAGCTCATCAAATGATGTCATGTTATATTCTGAGATCAACTTTTTTCTTAAACTGACGAACACAAACATTTTGAAGTTTTTACTTCATTACACAATAACAAGATCCAGGTTTCTTGCGCATTTATAATGATGTTTCCCTTTACTCGAAATCGGTCGACAAACCTAAGTAATACATTGATATTAGGGATTTGTCTCATGTTGATTTCAATTGAAACTGGACAAGAGTGAGAAACAAATGAAATGAAAATTGACTGACAATTAGGCAGTTGATATAGACACAAAGATAAAAAGGAAATGCCTGTACCAAGTCAGGAATATGACAGTTGTTTTCCATTCGTTTGATGTGTTTGAGCTTTTGATTTTGCCATTTGATAAGGGACTTTCCGTTTTGAATTTTCCTTGGAGTTCGGTATTTTTGTTATTTTATTTTTGACAATACAAATCGGAGCGGAGCACCTTAGGGAATTTGAAACATTGGTCAGATCTTGTGTGACGCCAGTTATTATATGTCGTCATACAAACATAGTAAAAAAAATACCTTCGATAATAGCACTTGATTCGAAAACTTTCGTTATAGGACTGAGATTTACAACATCGTGTCAGATTTGGTGTCTAAAAGATTGTGTTGATTTGATTTTCATGTAGCAATGGTGTTATCCAAATCACGAGATACATCAGCTTCGAGACATATTTTTTTTCAAAACTGCGAAATACCAGCTACGAGACATCATAAGTTGATTAAAAAAGCTTGTTAAATGTCAATTATGCCAATAAATTTACTACTTCCCATCACCGCCATGTAAACGACTTCGATATTATTCCTTTTTGAAAAGAAAACTTACATCCATCATTAATTCAGCTTTATGTAGAATAGCCATAAGAAAATAAGGATCTATCTTTAGTACTTTGTTTACCATATCCAGACTAGCTCTCTGTCTGTCTACATACGTTAATAATTCGGCAATATTTTGCATAACTTCTGTACTCTCTAGAAAAAAAAAGGAAAACAACGTTAATAGAAAAACGAAATGACGGGTTTGGTACTTCGGTACTGACATGATTAATAACAAACCTTTCTAAATTTGCCCGTTTATAAATTTTGAAATTATAAAGAAACTGAGGTTTCAACTCCCTCAGGCAAAGTTGGCCTTAGAAGGATTTGGAAATTATTTTAGGTCATTTTGGATTATATAGCTCTTCAACTGTTTCGGATTTAAACATCCTTGGATTTCAAATATTCGGCTTTGAGCGTTCTTGATGAAGGTAAATCCATAAAAGCGCTTCGGACGCATTAAATTTATAACGTGTTGTTTTCATTTTTTATATTCAATAGTTATTCCTTTTTATTCGTACAAAGAGGAAATTTCATATTCGTTTAGACATTGATGTTATTGCATTAATCTATAAAAGTGACTTTGATAATAACCTTTTTTTTGATTTTTTTTTTGATTTGTATGTTTGCTTTTGCCGGGATTTTTTTACGAGTACATTTTTCCATGGAAGTATTATATATTCATTTTACTTCCATGATTTTTCTAACTAACCGTTAGCAGCGAGTGAAACAATTCATCATTGATAACTTCGGTAATGACGTGATTTATAGGATTAATTTTTTGCAATTAAAAACTATTTTTTTTATAAGTTTTCATATTTCAATGTCTTTTTCAATTTTGGCTATAAGCACTCTGATATACATGTATAAGTCAAGTTAGAAAATTTTTCAACTACAAAAAAAAAACTTACCCGGTAACAACTCTAGTATTGTTGTATATAGTTCTATAAATTTTCTTGACCATTCTGTTCTCTCTTGCGAAGATTTACTGTTTGCAAGCATTTGACCTAAATAGCGATCTGAAATTTTGAAAAAAAAACGTTAACCTCATTGCATTCCATATTCATCCAAATTTGTTACAAATTTTACAGAAATCTTACAACATTTTAAAATTTATCCAAAATATGTCAATAAATTGTAATTAAATGATTTATTGATATTTAGATGGTTCAAATGTCAATCATCTGACGTGTTTGTCTTACCAAGAAACCTGATTTGATAAAACTAAACCTTCGTCTGCATTCACGGCTTCAATAATATAAAAACTTCAAAATGACTGATTTATGATTTGCAGTGTACTTAATAAATAATTAACATCAGTCACAATTTAAAAAAAAATAAAATCAATGAAACAACTATACAAAGGAAAAGATTACAAGGATATTAACTGTATACCGTAAATAGGGGAAGCTATAAAAGGCCCCTGTAAATAAACCTTCGTTTAAGTACAATCAACAAAATTATTTATAAACAAAATATATACAATTAAAAATATCATTTAATGTATGCTAGTTCTGAAGCACTGGCTGTCGGGCGGATTGTACCCTCGAAAATATGGAGTGATAGTCAGTGTTGGTCACCAAAATAACATATGTGATAACTATTTTAGTGCGCAAAACGAGCGTTTCTTTATGGACGAATAATAGGATCACGATGCATGTTCAATTCGTGGTAAAGAATTAAGTCATTATTCTTTCATGTCATGATCCATGCTCATTTTAATATAGTTATGTATTATAGGTATCATTATCTTTTTAGCGAGCGATACAAAACGAAAGAAAAAAAATGAATTAGAATTGATTCACAAGATCCTTTTGCGTTCAAACAATTCAGTAAAAAATTAGAGAACATAATAGAAAATAATACCAGAAAAATTCGGGCATTTATTTTTAGACAATTTTTGTTTGACATCTATCAAATGCATAAACAATGTTGCAGTAGAGATACAAAATTTGATTTCATTTAACGGTACAATTTACCTTCATAAAATAGTTTTTGTATTCCTAAAGTGCTCTCCTTTTTTTGTATTCCAATGGCAACTGTATCTCCAATATTAATTGTTCCATGGTAAAATCCCTCTGGCTGAAATATATGTTCAGATTAAAACTATTAAGTGTATGATTATTGATGTCTCTAAACCTCGCTTTTTTAAAAATATTGTGGTAAAATTGTTATTTGCCTTTGTAACAATTACATTTTACTACTGTGCCTTTGTAACAATTATATTTTACTACTGTGCCTTTGTAACAATTATATTTTACTACTGTGCCTTTGTAACAATTATATTTTACTACTGTGCCTTTGTAACAATTATATTTTACTACTGTGCCTTTGTAACAATTACTTTTTACTACTGTGCCTTTGTAACATTTATATTTTACTACTGTGCTTTTGTAACAATTATATTTTACTACTGTGCCTTTGTAACAATTACATTTTACTACTGTGTCTTTGTAACAATTACATTTTACTACTGTGCCTTTGTAACAATTACATTTTACTACTGTGCCTTTGTAATAATTACATTTTACTACTGTCACTATCAGCTTAAAACAACAATTCATAGTTGTTTCCCCGATGTTACTAATGTTTATAAATCGCAACTTAGGATTTTCAAAGCGCAGAATACACCAATACAAAAGGACAAAATTAAGTAAAAATATTTTTGAAGATAGTCTAATACGTTATAACAAGATGTTAAAAATATATGCAGATCTCACGGTATACATTTGCCGTCAGTGGTGTTGAAAATCCGAATGATTAGAACGTAAAGGAATAATAAACCCTAATGACCCATAAAAAGCGCGAACACGTGTAACCGTTAATTGAGATGATAACCTAGTATAAATGAATTTTGCTTCTTTATGAAATCTGGGAATGATCAAAAATCAATATAAAAGCAATATCATGCTGTTCGGAATCACCGAGTGCATTGCAAGGGATAGCAATGGGGGTCTGCAGTCCTCCATGCAGTTCAGTGGTAGTGATACAAATCATAAGATTACCAAAATTGTTTTTCTTTTTAATTTGAGTCATTTATATAATGCTGTCATTTCATAGTATCTTTTAGATTATAGTGTTTCAAATAATTTCCCTTTTTGCTGATACAAGTGATTTTGTTTTTTGCATGTCTTCTTTAAGTTGAAGTTCAAGGAAATAAAATTTACACATTGGACAAGTAGCACGTATAAATTCAAGACTTTTTATAAAGCGCAAATTACCATTCCAGTCGATCTGTGCAGATTGCCTTTGCTGCCCAGTGCGTAGTTCGCTTAATTTATATGAGGATCGTAAAAGAAGGAGGATGACCGTGAACATCGAACGAAATTGAAGTAAAAACTATAATTTCACAAAGGTTATCATTGAAAATATGTACAAATGCACCTACATGTATTATGTGTAGGTGCATTTCTACATATTTTTACGAAAGTTGAATAACTAAAAGAGAGACGAAAGATACCAAATGGATATTACCATTGATTTGTCGAAAATAAACAACTTACAATGCCATGGCCAAAAACGAAAAACGACAAAAAGACAAACAACAGGACACAAAACACAGCACAGAAAAGTAAATACTGAGCAACACGAACCCGGCAGTTATCTCAGGTGCTCTAGAAGGATAAGTAGATCCTGCTCCACATATTACACCCGTCGTGTTGCTTATGTAAGTACAAACTCAGTGTAAAGTCTTAATTCGAAAGTTCACATTCGAAGAAAAAAGGACGGGATTGTGGTTACAACAATCATAATACACATGTATATCCTTCTTCATCTGTGACACAGATATTCCATTAGGGTCAACTTCCATCGCAAAAACACGTAGAAAAACAGACAAACATGCACATGAAAATTAACATTAAAACGCACTTCTTTATTGTTTATGTTGCGAGGATAAGCAAGAAAAAAGATAACTCAAAACATTATACATACAAGATAAAGTATTTCTCCCGCCCTTTGTACGCATTCTATTGGTTTATCTACTTCTGCTTTTATCTTTGGATAAATCATATCAAACCATTCTAACATTGTATATCCAGTAAATACACCTGTAATAAGAGAGTGTCAAATTCACGATTAAAATGTATACGATGAAAATAAAATCATCATAGATACCAGTCTTAAAATATTGTACGCCAGGCGCGCGTTTCGTCTAGACAAGAGGCTTATCAGTGACGCTCAATTCAAAAAAGTTAAAAGGCCAAATAAAGTACAGAGTTGAAGAGCATTGAGAAACAAAAATTACGAAAGGTTTTGCCAAGTACAGCTAAGGTTATTTATTCTTGGGTAGAAAATCCTTAGTATTTCGAAAAATTCTATGTTGTGAAACAGTTAATTTATAATTATGAAAATTATTTAGCATACATTTTAAGTGACTTATTTATAAGTGTCTCTTAACCACTATTTTCCTTTTTATGGGTTTTTGCCGGCATGAGCAACACGACGGGTGTCAAATGTGGAGCAGGATCTGCTTACCCTTAAGTAGCACCTGAGATCACCCCAAGTTTTTGGTTGGATTCGTGTTGCTCGGTCTTTAGTTTTCTATGTTGTGTTTTGTGTACTGTTGTTTGTCTGATGGTCTTTTTTAGCCATGGCGTTGTCAGTTTATTTTCGACTTATGAGTTTGAATGTCTCTTTGGTATCTTTCACCTCTCTTTTATGATATCCGAAAAGAACATTTTCAAATTTAAAGTTTACTATCAATATAGCACATAATGGTATTAGTGAATTTCCATTATAGTGGCTGTGTCCGAGATGTAAAACTTGACCGAACAATATCATGATCCGTTTTGGATAAATAAAGGCACCCAGTATTTAATATATAGCATAACCAGTTTATCACTTTTCTAGGACAGTGTAAGGAAATAACCGCTTGACGTGTTATGAATGATCAGCAAACACGGGTACCATATTGGGACTTGCAGTTGGTTGTTTTCTATATATACACGCCGAATTTCTAGCCTTTTCATCTTTTGTTATATTTTTTATTAGTTAATTCTATGCAGCCTTTTCTTTTGAAATGATTAATGAAAGCCTTCATAATGGTTGTTTCATATATGATATTGTGTGCACATTGTTTAACACAATTGTTCCTAGTTTAAAAAGGCAACCGTAAAGTTGAAGTACTGACGATCATGGTACGGTGATCTGAACAAGGTTAGCAGAGGTTTTTCTAGTCCTGACTTGAATGCTGTTACAGTAGTTTCAGCTCACACATATCAGATGTCAGTGCCGTGTTATACTTTTGTGATTAGATACTACTATCTTTGAGTATTTGCATTCGTCATATGTTAGCCGATACCGTTCTTCCGTCTAACGAGTTCGGTCTAGATGGTTTTCAGATTGTATCTGTTTTGGTAAAACCTTGTTTATATTTCATATTCAAAGATGAAGCTAAGTTTTTCTGAATAAAGACAAGATTTAAGACGAGTTCAACATGTGGAGCAGGATCTGCTAACCCTTCCGGAACAATAGAGATCACCCACGTTTTTTTGGTGTGGTTCATGTTGCTCATGCTTTAGTGTTATATGCTGTGTTTTGTCGACTGTTGTTTACCTTTTGATTGATTTTCGTGTTCTTGTCATTTCATTGTCAGTTCGTATTCGACTTATGAGTTTGACTATCCCTATGGTATCTTCCACCTTTCTCTTGAGCCTTTATCCATTCGTAAATTAGACTTGAAATGCATTTATCTGTTTATGATAAAATAACTATACCTCCAGGTGGTGTATGATCTATAGGATATAGAAACCACCTTTTCCTGCCATACAATACACCGTTCCAAGAATCTGCATGTTTATGGAATGACACTCCACTTCTGGAAGCTCCCAAAAAGAATATGCTGTCATCAACGCCATTCTACAGAAACAGACACGTATACTCAAGAGTCGTATACATGTTATATAGACTATTTTGTATAAAATACGTGTTTATGAAGGTCCTTTTGATTCTGTTGACAGTTTTTTTTACTTTTCAACTCTTTACTTTCACTCAATCTTTCAAACAAAAGTTTTCATATTTAATTAAATGGTCGTTTTGGTAAATCTGATTGCACCAAATACAAATATATTTGCTGCAACTCATTTGAAGCCTACGTCTATAATGAGGAAGGTTAATATGATAGATATACTTACTGGAGGTGTGATTAGATGATTAAAGCTGTTAATTTTCTCCTTGATGATATTTATTTACATTTCGGCAAGAAAGTCTATCGACAGGTTGTAGGTATTCCTATGGGCACCAATTGCGCGCCTTTAATATCAGACTTGTTCTGGTACTGTTATGAATTACAGTTTATGACCAAACTCAATAAAGACCCGTCTAAATTGCATTTATTGATAAATTCAATAACACTTACCGTTATGTTGATGATATTTTTTCGTAGAATAATCAAGAATTTTCGTTCCCTTTTATTATTTTTTCTGTTTTTGGACGGTGATGTTCCGTTGGCAACATCTTACGGTGTTCATATATCACAACTCGTTCGCTATGCCTATGTCTGTTGTGACGTTTTGGATTTCAGTGAACGTAATCTATGTATTACTGGTAAATTATTAAGTCAGGGATTTCGTTACTTCAAATTAGTTAAAACCTTTACTAAATTCTTCCATAAATACAAAGACTAGGTTTGGAAGTTTGGTTGTACCTGTAGAAAACTTATTTCAAACGGGATAGCACATCCTAATTTTTACGGAAATCTTGTTTACCGAGCCCGGAAATTAGGTACGATCCGGGTAAAGGTTTAGATCCTTTGAATGAACTTATTCTAAAAGTTACTAATTCAACACTATAATAAATTTGTTTTCCTGGATATCAATATTGATTTTGTTATCAGTAAATTTAAATGAAACTAAATATTATTTTCATATGCATATACACATTCATGGCTCTACAATCTGTCGATACCTGTATCTTGGCATTGTACAAGGTCATGTTTTTCTCTGACTGTTAAAGACGTCTTCACACTAAATCCATTGGATGTTGGATGTGAACTGATTGATATTTTAGTCTTAGATGCATGATTTTTTTCGTTAGTTCTTATTAGCCTATGAACTAGCTGTCAGATCTGTATTTATTTTTTGTTGTGGGGATGTATAAATAACCTGCCACGTCCGGTCTGTTTTTGTTAAATTTCTTTCTGCTTTGAATCGATCTGATGAGTTAAGCCTTTTTCAACTGATTTCTATAGTTTGTTCTTATGTTGAACTGTTACACCACTGTCCCTGGGTAGGGGAGGGTTGGCGCCTTCAGACTAGTTTAACCCCTGCAACATTCTGTATGTGCCTGTCCCAATTCAGGAGCCTGTAATTTAGTGTTAGTCGTTTGTTGTTGTATATCATATATGTTTTTCGTTCATTATTTTGTACATTAATCAGGTCGTTAGTTTTCTCGTTTGAATTGGTTTACATTTGTCATTTCGGAGCCTTTTAAAGCTGACTATGCGGTATGGGTTTTGCTCATGGTTATATTCCTGACTTGGTACATGCATTTCCTTATGAAGAACATGGTGAATTAAACCTGGCTTTATAGTTAGCTAAACCTCTCACTTGTATGACAGTCGCATAGAATTCCATTATATTGACAACAATGTGTGAGCAAAACAAACCGACATAATAGATAAAAATGTCAAAAATTGGGGTACAGTAGTTTTTTTTGATACGCGTTTACCATAAAACTCATCAAAGATATCAGGCTTATAATTTTATTCGCAAAACGCGCGCGTTTCGTCTACAAAAGACTCATCAGTAACGCTCGAATCAAATCAAGTACGAAGTAGAATAGCAATGAGGATTCAAACATTTCGAAAGGTTTTGCCAAATACAGCTAAGGTCATAACGCTGTAGATTCGAAAAGGCAAAGCATTTAACAAAAAACCAAGTCCTTGTTGAATAAATTAAGGCGGCAGTAGTTTATCGATGTTCAAATCTCGTAAATCGATTAGCAAGAGACAAGTCAAGTTATCAAACAGAAACTACACTACAAAAGGAGCGATACAAGGTGCGTCGACAGGGTGAGCGTTTCACATCATCCACCATGCGAATTTACACTCAGTTTAAATGTCACAATCAGACAACTATATTGGTATCTCACGATCTTAGACAGAAAAAATATGTCGCTAGTGAGTTGAGACACCGACACATGGTATCGGTAATTCAATAAACTGAATTCAGTATATTTTTTTCTAAATTCCTAAAGTAAGACACATCTGTTACCGGCAATTATTGCACATTAGCATAGTGTAATGCGATTTATGATGAATTATCTGAAATGTATAATTATGGATGCCGGGTTTCTACCTAAAGTCGCTATTGAATATGCGTAGATGACGAGCATCTTATTTTTGTGTTTACATTGGGTTTTGAAAAATTTCTTAAAAAATCTTTAACGGCAAAATGTTACAGCATGTTGTGAAAATGCAATAACTAATAAATTACAAATGCTAAGAGTATCTTTAATTTTCTCTCACCTGTATTTTAAAAATATTTGGAGGCTTCAAGGTTTTCGGTAGTGTGGATGAATTGTAGAAATTTCTGTCAAACACATACCTGTGAAAAGAATTAAACTGCTATGTTGTAGTATTGAATTATCGCTCTTTGGTAATGAAAGGAATTTTCAGGCTTAATAATACATTTCGTATGGGTCAGTTTCCATCTAACATCGTTATACTTAATCATCATAGCTCGGATGGATTCTTAAAACAAACCATTCTTGGTATTCCTGACATTGACTACTGTTTAAGTAGTCTCAGCTTAAAAAAACCTTTCAGCACGTCAGTGCCGTGTTATACTTCTGTGGTTGGAGACTATCTATGAGTAGTTGCACTCGTCATATGTTAGCCGTCTTTCGTCTAACGAATTCGGGCTAGATGATTTTCAGATTTTATCTGTTTAGAACAGCCCTTTCTCATATTGAACATGTATACCGTGGCATATCACGAATACCCACTGCTGATCTTTCATGTTACTGGATATCTTTAACAACTGAAATCAGTTGATTGACCAAAAGAAGATTTTTTTTATATCAGAGGAATACTGCCATACAGGCGACATTCATTAGATATATTGGGAAAAATCAACAATTTCATTCATTCTTTGTCGATTTGATGGCCAATGACTCGTTGACCCTTTTATGAAACTAGAAGGTCCCTTTGTATACAAATGAATAACTTAACATTTACCATTGATGTCTTAAGCATCAGATTTCACTAAATTTTGGTACGAAACTATGCTATAGCAACAGGTGAACGCAGTGAAAGTTGCATTGTATTGTTTTGCTTTCGATTACTAAAATACGTACAATGGTTCCCCTGTTTCATCTTCTTCTTGTATTAACTTATCAACAAAGTCAGAGAAGGAGGACCCTACTTCTCCATTTCCTCCTCTGCGCACAATCTCCCGCGCATTGCCGGAATATATTCTAAAATCCCCATACTCCCTTTTCAGGTTGGACACAGTCCATTTATCTGCGTCTGCCCAGTCATTTGCTCCATTTGGAAAAGTAACAATGACCGGCTTTTTATATCTGTATACTTTTTCAAATTCTTCACTTGACAACTCTTCTATTTTCCGTTTTTCTATATTACAAATTGTCGAGTCATATTTAGCTATGACACGCTGGTCAGCTTCTCTCCAACCAGTTGAAGACACTTCCTCTGGCTTTTCTATTGTGTCTTGTGTCTCATGTGGGTTTTGCTTGAATATATCGTCTTGAATATGTTGTTCCTTTATTGAATTTTTCTGATTATTAGCACTATTCTTATGATTATTAATTTTACTTGAAGCGTCACCATTTCTTTTATTCTCAACTGGAACCTCTGTTTTAGTTCTTTCAAAAGGATTCCTTTCATATTCGGGAACTAAGTCTCTTGTTATGAATAGAAACACGCCACATGCAAAAATAACTCCTAGAAATCCTAATAAAACATTAACTAACATCTGTTGGTTGTTTTGGTTTGTTTTCTTTCTATCTTTTTTAACATTTTTAACTGCTCCGTTTGCAACGTGATTGTTGTTCAGTTCTGTTTTTGTTTTTCTTCCTCTCATTTTGCTCAATTTTATACTCAGTTGTTTCGTAATCATATTGTTCTTTCCGGTTTACGTAGACATGTATAAAAGAAGATTAACAAATGCACTTCAATTATTCGAACATATTAATAATAAGTGTTGAATTATTCTCAGTAACTGAACCTGACAGAACCCTTAATTCTCTGTTTATTGCTATTGATATCCCATTATTAAGTTTCTGACGACGATGACCTCTATATACATTACAAGATGTTGTATAATCGGATAAAATATACACCACATTTACTTTTCTTCGAAGAAAAAACATGGAAAGAAATTAGGAATCGACCCATACATATAAACGTTAAATGCAAATGCTTATCGTGTGAATTTTGTCTCCATTAAAAGATCATTTTGATATATTTCTATACTTTACGACAAAATACGTTAACTGGGCGGGATATTACAAACACAAATGCGGTCTTACTTTTAAATGACTCTTTTGATCTTGAGATTTTCTTTTTTAGTTTAATGTGTCGTCGGACTGATGTTTTATTGACGTATACCTCACATCTCTGTATTCATATTCTACCAGGTTATGAGGGAAAAAGCCAAAGTCAAAATTTCACGCGCTCTAAGATCTCCATCACAATTTGTCTCTTTATGGGCATATAACGGTATCCAAAATTACAGGAGACATATTTACCCTGACATAGCACATGCACATTCATTTTTGTTCTTATGGTTTTCTAGCCAAATTTGTCGTGCTGCTGTTGTGGCACTCTACTCTAAAAGAATTTTGAATTACATGATGGTGATTCATCCATAGTACATATGCTTATCTTGTTCTTGCAAATAGTCTCACTCTGCTCGGAGTTCCCGATATTCATACTGTAGTTATTCCCATACAAAACAGAATATGTTGTATGATTGCCAATGAAATATTCATACTTTAGTTATTCCCATAAGAGTTAGATGCCGTATGACTGCCAATGAAACAACTATCCATAAAGACAAAAAAATCAATTATAGGTCACTTGAATTTTGCGAAATCCTTTATTTTGCGATCGCAAGACTTCTTTCGCTTCTTGACTGAATAGAAATTTCAAGACTGAATGCATGGAAAATAACGAAACATTTCAAATTATTCATTTATAAAATTATTTGTTTGAAGTGAGATTAATTTTACGATGGCCAGATTCATCTTATCTTTTACATTTGTAGGAACTGAAATGGTGTCCGTTTCGCCCACTGTGTTACTTCAATGTATGTGTAACATTGAAAGGCCGCCCAGCTTAGACTCGGTCGTGGATGATCTTATGATTTTTAGCCTTGTATGATCTGAAATGAACTTTCACAGCAACATGATACAACTGGCAAACAATAATTTCATAATACAACCGATAATATATATAATTGCGCACGTTGTTTTGCTTCGATTGAGTTCTTGTGGGATATCGGCTGGAAACTGAATATCAGTTATGTAATCCTCTACCAATATTTGCAATAAATCGACATCCAGTTTTTCAAGATAACATGGCATCAAATAGAAATCAAGGTCATGGATTTAATTTCCTCTGGAAAAGATGATTGATTCCATGATCAATAAAAGGATAAAACAAATGTATTCTAAATTGCTCAACTGTTTCTGCTGCCGCGTTTGATCTCTATCTTTTTTGGCCTGGTTTATGCGTTTTTTAAAGGTAATTTTATTTTCTGCTTCAATGATAAACGCCCTGTCGAATAAGTATCGACATTCACTAGATAAAACAACGCGATGTACTTTGTACACGGCTGTCATTCGGTATATCGAGAAAAATGATCGCGAAAGAATAGCTAACGGTGGTCAAGCATTGCAATCGGATCGTGAATGTAATCAATTGTAGTTCTACTTCAAAATCTGTGAAAAATCGTCTGTATTTTCAAAACGCGGAACAAATCCGAAAAAAAAATTTGTCTGTCAAAATGATTCAACTTTCTCAATAATACTGTGCAATAAGATAAAGAAAATATGCAGTACTTTATATGAGAAAACGCAAAAGGCGCAACACAAGTCTATTGGATTCATTAAAACAAAAACCTATAATGGACATATTCCAATATAAAATGATATATTTGAAACTGAATTTTTGGTGTGTCAGATAGTACAGTAAAATATTATTTTCCCCCTTGAAACCGTTATGTTTTTGAAAACATTAAATTTTGTTGATTTTTCATCAAAATTGACCGTGAACGATCGGGCAACGCATTATCTTGATCGTGAAAGACATGGCGTGACCAGACGGACGCAGGACGTTTTGGCTTTTTACCTGTAACACTAAAGAACATTTGCGCTTCAACCACTATGGACATTTGCGCTTCAAACACTATGGACATTTGCGCTTTAGACTTTGATACACCTGAATAACATTGACAAGACATTTGCGCTTTTTACCTATTATAGTTTACATTTTTATCTTTAGAAAAATTTACCAAAGTCATGGAGAGATGTTCACATATTCTTTGAAAGTTCTTCCGAACAAACTACAAAATCAGACAAAAATTATGGAACGCCACAGCTGTCTTATGTGGAACTCTGATATTACTTTATGTTGTTTTATTATTACTTGATGATATTTTGTCTTTACTTAATATGGTTTTGACATTACGTAATGATGTTTTGATATAACTCAATATGGAATAGTCATTACTTAATGATATTTCGATATTACACGATATGGTTTCGTATTGACTTGATATAGTTTTGTCATTACTCAATATGGTTTTGTCATTACTCTATGCGGTTTCACCATTATTTAATGTGGCTGTGTCATTAGTCAATGTGGTTTTAACATTACTTGATGTGAATGTGACTTAACGTTATGTAGTTGTTTCATTACATGATGTGGTTTTGTTATTTTGTAATGATGATTTGCCTATTCTTTATATGGTTTTAACATTACGTAATGATGTTTCAAAATTTGACGATTTTACACTACATGATGTGTTTGTTTCATTATTTGATGTGGTCCTGTCATTCTTTGATGTGGTTATCCCATTACTTGATGAGGTAAAATCACGTGACCAATTCGGAAAAAAATATGTTCTATTTTTAAACAGATTTCAATATATCATTTGTTTAATGTACTTTGGATGGGTATCGCTATCCATTGAGTTAAAGTTCAAATTAAAGTTCGAGTGGTTGTTCAGAGTTATTTGGTATGAAAAAGGGGAACGGCAGACAATAATAAGAAAAAAAGTATTAAAAAGTTTACAGTATTTCGTACATAATTGGGATATACCTAACCACTTGGTCTTGTTGTTTTTATCCTAAGTTCTCAAACGGAAGCAGTATTTAGTAATAAATTTGTAAAATATTCCACGGAACCCTGTGTCTCGCCTGATATTGCTGCTGTAAGTGTAAAAGCGTCATGTCGATCGGCTGTACATTTATCTATACATTTATCGGTAAAAACAAAATTAAAAAAAAAATGTTTTTCTGTAGATGCTTTTTCTTGAAATTGAGGAATAACTCCTATACAAGTTTTAAAACACTTCATGGAGGTTTACAAATTTATCATGTCAAAACAGTTTAATTCGGTTTTATTTAACTAAAACAAAACTGTATGGTTTTCAACAATAAGCAAAACCTATACCATATAGTAAGCTATAAAAGGTCCCGAAATGAAAAATGTAAAAAACTAGAAACCTAACGATCTATAGATAGAAAGATAAATAGATACTTTATTCTCTAAAAACTAATTACAAGTTTACAGAGAAACATACAATATAAATACAGATACAATAGTTGAGGTAAACAAATACAGTATGATATTCTAAAAGTACAAAATTATGATGGCATACATGTTTAGTAACATGTATAATGAAAGGTTAAAATCAACAGAAATTAAAAAAAATGGAGATTGAGACGCCGACGCCGACGCAACTATCGACGACGAAATATAGGTGTGTTGTGTCTCACTGCCGCTACATTGATGTCGCAGGCTCGACACAAATCAAAAGACTTGAACTTTATTGTTAACAAATGAAACACTTCAAATCAACTCACACTAAAGTTACAGGGAAACGGGGGGAGGGGGCTCGGATTTAGCGACAAAACATAAATACTATAAAATAAGAATTCTCCGAATTTTGTTTTAGCGAACTTATATGGATATCAATCTTTTATTTGTAATCAATTGAAATCCCTGATCTACCTCGCACTAATTGAAAAATAAACTTTTTGGAATATCTGTTTCACATGTGACGACGGACATGTTCCAGTGGTCGTAACCATAATACCGTTATCTTTTCCTTGAATGTGAACTACCAAATAAAACCAAATCACTGGGTTTGTACTTTCTCGAATAACACGACGGGTGCCTTTCTGGAGCATCCGAGATCACCCCGATGGATTTATATTACCCAGCCATACCGATCTATTGAGTCAGCCAAATGAAACTGTTTTGTATGCCACCACAACTGAAAGTTGGGGGCATATTGTGTTACTCTTGTCCGTCCGTCCGTCTGTCCGTCCCATTATGGATATATAGTTATTCCGCATAACTCCTCCTACAGTTTGAATCCTAGGAAGTTTTCTCTTTACTGTCTGTTTGTACATATATTGAAGGTGTGCATGTGGTCAGGGTTTAATGTTTATTAATATTTGCTCTTTTGGGAGATAGTTGAACTTTTTTTTTGTAATTTTTTGGGAAATTTACTAGCATAAGAAGAGCGTTTCCAGATTACTCCTCCTACAGTTTGAATGCTAGGAAGTTTTCACTCTGCTGGCTGTTTGTACAATTATTGAAGGTGTGCATGTGGTCAGGGTTTTTATTTTTATTATCTTTTGCTCTTTTGGGAGATAACTGAACTTTTTTTGTCATTTTTGGGGTATAAGCGGTTAATTTAAATGAGTTGAGTGCGGGGGCATCACTTTGTCTAGTTTACATTTTTTTCTCGTTTTGTGCTGTTACACAACTGTAACAGTCCGATGTAAGGTTAGGATTTAGCGCTCACATACATGTTAAACTCCACCACGTGCACTTTCTTTATGTACCTGCCCCAAGTCAGGAGCATGAAGTTCAATTGTTGTCATTGTATAAATGTGTGCC